GTTGTTGTTGTTTGTTTGTTTGTTTGTAGTTGATATATAACGGTAATAACTGATTAAACAAACATAAAGGCGAGATCCTTACAAATCATATAGTAGAATATATGTATGTAAATATTAAGTTTTTTGTTTTCTGCTTCTTCTTCTTCTTTTGTTGCTTAGAGTTTGAAGAGATATTGAAGAGATTGTTTTTTTGTACACATTTATCTACAGCTTTTCATTTGTCTTTTATTTATATTTATATATTATGCCATATTTATTTATTTTATTTATTTAAAAGTCTAGCTCAATCTTTTTTTATACAACAAATTTAATATCAACTAGTATACGCTATTGCTATTTACGATATTGGTATTTCTTTTTTTTTATGGTATTTATAAGCTGTTTTCTCTTCTTTTTTTTGTAATTATGATTAAATGCCTTTTACCCTTTAGCATAGCATAAGCGCTTATGTCTCAACTAACTATATATATATATAATCTAAATGTGTGTGTGTATATATATAGTAGCTGCTTCAACTCGATCTCGTATTGTTCTCTGTGTGTTTTTTTAAATATGTTTCGGAAATTGAAATTGTTGTTGACTTCTTCGCTTTTGGTTGCTTCAAATTGCTTTTCATTGTCGTTACGTTAGATATACATATGTATGTATATATATATAAATATATGTGTGTATGTATGTATGTATAGTTAGTATACGAGTATGTTCTATATGCATTATATGTATAGCGTGTTATGTTAGTATTTATATGTATATATTTATATATATGTGAATTAGGTTTTAAGTTAAGATTAAGTAAGCCTTTCTTTAATCAGCATTTGCTGCAATTTACAAACGAACTGCGAATACACGATATCGTCTCGCGCATAAACGTAGCCTAAATAATGTTAACAAGGTTTTAGTTTTTCATTTAAATTTCACTTTTACCAATTCAAATTTAAAGTTTTTTATTTTTGTTTTGAGTACAATTTGGAATTTTGAATTTCGGATTTAGAAATCGTAAATTTTGTTAATAGTTTTTTTGGTTTATGTTTTTTTTTTTTTTTTTTTTTTTTTTTTTTTTTTTTTTTTTTTTTCAAAAAATTTTTTTTTTTTGTACGTTGATTTTTTATATACA